GAGTTGAAGCTACAGCAGCTGCCTGTCTCCTGAGTACCTGGTTCCTGCTGCTACCTTTGCCCCCCTGTCACCACTGCCTTTATTTCCCCATCCTGCCCTCCGTCACTTAGCCTCCACAGCCCTGGCTCTAAGGCTGCAGCTCTCACAGCCACAAGCACTGCTGCTGGGCTAGGCAGGGGCTAAAGCAAGTACATGCTCGATATCTCAGACAAGAACTGAGCCAATCCAAACCCATGGAGGAGAAGCAGGATGGTGGGACAGGTCAGGTGTCCAGGACTAGATGTGGGGGGAGGCAAACAGGGGGGTAAATGGTGAGAGGAGCAGGTGCCGGGGAGTGCAGGCATTTGGGAGCAGGTGGGAGCAGGGGCAAATGGCAGGGGTCAGGCAGCAAGGGGATCAAATAGTATGGGGAGGGCAGATGGTAGGGGAGCGAAGCAGGGGCAGGCCACTTGGCTACCTCCACCTTCTGCTCCCCCTTGCCTTCCCCCTCTCCCCACTACCAGTTCCCTGTTGCTGCTTGCTCCACTGCAGTGGTGGAAGCAACACATTTAAGACAACACTCTAATAGTTTCTAATAGATTCTATTCATGGAAAATTACAACAAACTAATTATTGGGTGGGTCATCTTAATTCCTAAGTTTTCTTATATTTCAGTAAATATGGTATTTCATTTTGAAAACTTTCTACTAATATTTTGATTTTATCCCTTTTACTGGCCATTTGGACTCAGTCTCATGAAACGTTATGGCCCTCTTACTGCCAAATCATCCCCAATTCTTCTGACTCTGAAGCTCCTCAACATTTCATAGATGTTTTCTGCAGGGTTGCTTGGTCATATCTTTTCCTTTCACATCTGGATGAAACAGAACTTGCAAAACTTTTTGCAGAAATATTATATGAGGGAAAACTCTAGCTCTAACCTTCTCGATAACATTTTTGTTTAATCAAATCTGTTTTCTCCAAAAAAAAAAGAATAATTTAAAATACCATTTTTTCAATTAAAAGTTAGACAAAAAATTCTTCACCAGATCTTGTACTCAGTCATATGAAGATCTGAGCCTGTATTTACTTGGAAAATATGGGTTGTGGCATGTGAGGCAAGAACACATAACCGTGAAGAAAGACGCTATGTAAAAATTATGAGTGAATCATTATTTCAGACTTTGCCTTATGAGTTTCACACTGTTCTGCTTTTGGAATTATTGAATAAATAGAGTGGTAGATAATAAAGGGGTAGGATGGACTTCCATTCTACATGCTTGTAGACATTGGCAACCATGAGCCACTAAAAAACAACCTGAAAAGTAGAGTTGCTTAGTTTGTACTGTTTAATTCCTGTTTTTCCTTTAGCATGTATACATTTGTCTTTCTTTTACAAGAGCTGTAAAGGTTTCATCAAACATTAAACTGCATTTAAAAAATAAAAATAGACCATTTTGGTTACCATGCCTGAGGGGGCAGGCCTGAGAGGTGCCTTATATGGTTGCATACAAATGCAAAATGCATGTAACAGAACCAGATAAATAGAGATGCTTACTGGATGATACCTAGCCATATAGTAAGATGGGTTGCATTAGATCCATTGTACAGGGGAGTACTTACAGACTAGGCATGCCATACTGCACTGCACTGCTACCCAGTATGGTCCACAGGTAGTATGGACAAGCTTTTTGAGTTTTCACCTACACAGAACTTACATTACTTTTAGTGGGAAGTTGCAGTGAGCAAAGTAATTATTACTTGGCAGGATTCTGGTCTCATGTATAAAAGTATAGGTGTGGAGTAACTCCATTAATATTAATGGCCAAATTAAGATTTCTACCAGTATGAGGCCACTGACAGACATTCACTTAAAGGTGTAATGGGATCTGATGGCAGGATGCATGATTTTGGGATCAGGAATTAGATCCCAACCACACCTTATTTGCCAATGCGGGGGGAACCCAGGATCAGGGTCAAGTATCCACTTTCCAATCCCAAGGTCCCCATGCACTGGTGTTGTCAGCAAATTGCAGGTGCAGTCCAGCTGCATATTCACTTTTTAAATGTCCCAGCCTGATGGGATTGGAAAGATGCTCCCCAATCCTGAGGTACCTTTGCAGGGACCTGTAAAATGAGGTATGCAGATATGGTTTTATTACTCACCATGGCACACAGAGACACTAGGATCAGGCTATGGCAACCTGATCCCAGAGTTCCTGTGCTCTAGGCACCAATCCTGTTTTTCCATTGTTCTGGGACTTCTGAAGAGTGCATGTGCAGCTGGGTTTCTGATATCCCCGGTGTATGGGGACCTCAGGATTGAGGAGAGATACCAGGGTCCCCAAGCACTGGTGATGTCAGGTTCACCGTGCTCCCCACACCTGCCTCCATGTGGGATCCAGGGTCTAGGAGCAAGTTTTACCCCCAACCCAACTGGGCCCAGACTCTAGGGTTGCTAGATCCTGACACACACAGCTGAATATTGGAATCTGTCAAGCACCGCTGGCCCCAAGCTGATACACATTCAGTTTAAAGCTCCCTACAAATGAGCCACAAAGTTCTTACATAATTTATGTGGAATAACTTTGTGGCTCATATTGTATTATTACGCCATAAACTGACTTGAACCTGTGGCTGGGTTATTATTTAAGGCGCAGTTAACAGGTTAATTGCATCTTAATGTAATGTGGCATGGGTCTAAGTTACATCAGAATATAATCAACCATCATGCTTCTGGAGGCAGTGTTTAAACCTAACACAGGCATACACCCTTGCTATTAGAACTGCTCTCTTGTACAGGGGTTTCCCACCATAACTTTTAATCTGTGGGTGGAGCCTCCAAAAGTTGGGAATCAGAGTTTGGTCTGCCATTTTCTCCTTTCGGTCTCATCTAACTGCTTCCATGTGTTAGATGCTATTTTAGGCTTAAATCTTGCTTTCTAGCAAAATGATGAGAGATGCATAAAATAAATAATAATGTCATATAATGTATACATATTTATATTTATCATAAAATGGAGACAATGTAGGGCAGGTTATTTCTGTTTCTGTTCTATGAAGCAAACAAAGGACAGGGTTGGGGGTTTTTTTAAGTCATTGGGGGGAAAAAAACACTGTATTTTCTTGTTTGAATCAATAACTTACTTAGATCCTGCTCTTTAAAGACTTCAAATGCAAATACTTTTTGCTTTGTTATAAACTGTTATTCTTTTTTTGCCTTCCTGTAACTGGAACAACATACTAATTTCTACAAGTTGTGACTACTAACAGAGAGCAATCACCTCACAGACTTGTACCGGAAAGAAGAGACCATCAGCGTCGCCAGAAACGGCTGCATCCACAGTCCCCGCTTCCCGAGTAGCTACCCCAGGAACCTGCTACTGACATGGAGACTCCACTCACCGGAGAACACAAGGATACATCTGGCCTTTGACAATCAGTTTGGACTGGAGGAGCCTGAAAATGATATCTGCAGGTGAGCAAGAAGCTTTCCAGAAAACTAAAGATTTCATGTCAGTTTAAAAATCAGCAGAACGCTGTATGCATTGACACCTGGTTGCCTGTGGCCATGGACACTTTTTCCTGCTAGCAGAGCAGTGCTTATTCTGTCAGTACCAGAAAGTTTCTGACACCACAGGGCAGCCACCAGAAAGTGTGTGTAGATACCAATGTACTTTCTTCGGATAGCTGCAGCTTCTTTGGTGCCTCCTAGAGGTACCACGTGCCCCCTGCCAGCACAACTGCTCTACTAGAGATACACGAATGGTAAGAGCCATCCAAAGCTGTGCAGGTGAGGACACGTGGTGGTGGCTTCCCTGGGGCAGTGCCTGTCTGTCAGCAGAAGGCCTGTAATGTAGAAATGCCCATGTGTAATGTTTTGGAAGGGTCCCTTTAGGCACCTCTGTCAAGAAGGCTTGCCCAACACGACAAACACAATTCTAAAGAAATGTGCCTACCATGGACCCAGCTGCCTCCTTGCGTTACATTTTAAGTGCAAAACACTCAAGTATCTTATTTTCCTGGCTAACCGGCCAAATAATAACTGAATTGAGGTCTTCCTCAGTTAATTAACAGTGGATGTTGCCTGCTGTGAAAAACTTTTCTTTCACTTTTTCAGTAAGGCATTTCCTTTTTGGAGGACAGGTAAGAATTAAGGGTTGGGAGAGTGGTATGTTCTTGAAGTTGTGTGACTGATAGTCTATCCAATTATGACTTGCATCTAGGAATATTTTTTCCTAGATGCCTTAAACATAGATCCCAAACCAACAGTGTACTCTGGCTGCTTCTTCCACTCCGTTGACCAGAGCAACCAAACTTATGGGAGGTTAAACCAATTTTGTGACTGCTTTGCTTTTCCAGCGCGCACAGATTAATTGGCTCGTAATAAATAAAGTAATATAAAATCCCTGGTTATTATTCATATGCAGGTTTTGTGTGAGAGAGAGGCCCAAAGCCTATGTGTATTTTCCATATCTTCAAATGCCAGATTTTTGCATTGATATTAAAAAAGCTAAAGCATCCGCTTCCAATGCTCTGCCAGATTGTTATTAATTATGGTTATATCTTTCCAAAAATCGCACCCAGCCCCTGTTTATCTTAACATCTATTAGTTTGCCTTTCTAGACTCTGTTTGGCAAGTCTGTGGGGCTTTGTCATTATTATTTTTAATGCTCTGCATTACCATTGAACAGAGAATACCATTCCAGCAGGTTTGTTTTCCAGTTAATAATAAAAGAATGCAGACTCAAACTGGCCTTCCCTCTCTGAATGTTTATTATCTTGGCAGCTTTTCTTTGCTCTGCTGCTGTTGGTCTGAGAGCAATAGCAGTGTAAGTAATGACAGTTACCTTCTAGTGCCAGAGAGGCGATGCCAGAATATAGCGTCTACTGCACACAGAAGCAGCCTGTTCATATTTATATTGAGAATAAACTATGGCTGACCTTAAATCTTTTCAACCTTGAAACACAGGGCTAATTTAATGTGGAAAAAGATGAAGTATTCTATTTTAAAGGGCCATTAAAGGTGATGACATGGTGAGAGGAAGTCAAGTCATTATTGACAGACTGGATTTTGACCATGGCTACAGACAATATGCTGGCTTTCAAAAGCTGCTAATTTATGATGTGAAGAAGAAAAGACCTTCCAAAATCTATAGTGTCTATAAAAGCTGGAAAAATACCACATATTTTGCAGAAATACAGAGTTGCTCTCAGTTATTGGAAGACTTTTATTTGCATGTCATTATTTCCAGAATGAGGATATTCTCAGGGGGAATGCATGTAATGATTCTCAGACTTGTTAGAAACATTATTATAAGTTATAGGGGTTTTTTTACTACTTTAGAGGAACTTTTAAAAAAAGCAGGTCTTTTCCTCGACTTTACTCTGATGCTCTTTCAGGCTCCACTTCAGCAAAGGGGGTGCATCTACACCAGACACTACGTCACCATAACAACATGCAATAGTGAGCCTGCATTGGCAGGCACAACCATGATGCGGCACCTATATCACCATAGTGAAGCGCTCCTTTGCTACAGTACATTGCTACAGCGACATAGCGGCTAAAAATAACTGCACTGCTGGCACAGCGTGGTAACAGCTCTTACTACACCATCATTTAGTACTTCCTAAAGATAGTACTAAATGACAGCGCAGTAACAACAGCACCATAGGGGCATGTGTAGATATGCCTAGGATGTTGTTAAAACTTAATTATGTGCCTAAAGTTGAGCATGTAAATAAATGCCTTGCTGAATGCACTGCCAAATAAGGACCCCCATGCCCCTGTTCCTTTCTTACTGCTTTTGTCCTCACTCTTCCCACCAGGAACTTCCTGGCATGTTCGTTCACTTTTTCATTAATATTAATAATTGTAATCTACATAATTATGAGCATTAAATTGATTTAAATTCATTTCGGCTGTGAGATGAAAATGTGAATTTTTAGCTTAACTATTTCAGAACAGAGAAAAAATATCTGAAGCTTTAAAAATATTTCTGCATTTGTTATTGGCACCTCTGCAATCATTCAAGGAGGGTTTTGAAAAGCACTGAAATTATCCAGATAGTATGAATTTTTGGTTGCTCAGAAATGGATACAAATTCCCTTATCTCACAGGTTTCCCAAACCAGTTCCAACTATCAGTCCTCACAATTTCTTATGTACCATGTACTTTTATGATCAAACTTTCAATTAAAGATGGGATGCAGTCTACAGGCTACTTACCCAGGGCCTCATGAACTGCAATTTGGAAATTCAGATATGTATCCAGCTTCCAGGATCCTTGTGTAAAAGCTGTTCTTACTGTAAGCAGACCTGGTTCCAGTAAAGTTACCGGATTTGAACCAGTTTATTCTATCAGTGAATTTAGTCCCCTCACCCAGCAGGTATAGGTCTATCATTTCTGTAATTTTCACCAAAATGCAGGAGGTCAATTATGGGATCTTGTTGCAACTTGCCAACATATTCTGATAAAATGAATTTTAAATAAAAAGTTAGAAAGGGCAGACAATTGGGATTCACGCACATGCAAAAGGGAAGAAATGGAGATTGTGGAATTCAAAACCAAGAGGAGACAGAAAATATTAATTGAGTAGGAGTCACTAGGTAGGCTCTTAAACACCTTCAACATCCTTTTGAGCAGAGGTCAGAATGAGGCTAGTGAAAATGCCCGTAACTCATTTATCTAAAACTAAGTTTTTTAGTAACAGGGAAAACATTGGTAGCAGAGTTTGGACAGATTTAGTGTGGATTTCTTGTTTTCTATGCTGTATAATTTTAGACTGGTGAATATAAATGCTGTAATGCTAATGCTTTCTAGCTGCATCACATTTACATTTTTTCTCATATGGTTCCTTGGCAGCAAGAGCAAACCAAATATGTTATTTACAGTACATTTCAGACACCAGTAGCTAGGTAGAGAAGGATGTCTTTGATCTAGAAGTCTCAAAGAACAGAGAAGCCCCTTGATAACACGATTCTAATAAGAATCAATTAGTAATGGTTAATCTCTGTTCTGAGGGCAAACATGTTTTGATAACAAAAGTCCTTCATGACTAAAAAAATCTGAAATTTTAGAGCTTAACAGTTCAGGGAAGCTTTCTTCTCCATCCATTTGTCATTTTCCTCTCTTTTGGACTTCTGTCTGCTTTGGCAACAGCTTTCTATCACAGGTGGGAATATGTAGGTCCTGAGCAAGAACCTCAATGAGGTCAATAGGATAACTCCCATTGACTTTAATTTCTTTCCTATCATGTATCTTAGAGCAAGACTGTGGAAAACTCAAACTATAAATGCTACTGACACATGAAGACGCAAGCAGATGTTGTTTTGCTATGAGAACCTCTGCTACCATAGTGTGGGTTTTTGTCCCCATCTTGTGGTTAGCTCATATATAACTGCTGGAGTATGAGCTACTGCCTTGACCTAATTCTGCGTATGCTTAAAATTAAAATTGGTCCATTCCTCAAGCATTTGAGTATCACATCTACAGGTCATTTACTTGCAATGTGAAACGTAGTTAGAATGGTAATCTATAATGGCAGAGCATATTTTCTGTTATACTCCAAAAGCAAGAAAAAAACTCCTAGATAGCTAAGGTTCTTAGAATATGACAGGCATTGTGACTATTTGTGACTTATAATTTAATACTGTGTAATAGAGCCCACCATATGTTTGGCTTAATTTCTTGAGCAAAGTTCTGTTTTGTTGTAGAAGCTTTATGTAAGGATAATGTATTAAACTATCAAACTGATTTCTAGGTATGACTTTGTGGAAGTAGAAGATCTATCTGAAACCAGTACAGTTATACGAGGACGATGGTGTGGACACAAGGAAGTTCCTCCAAGAATAACTTCAAAAACAAACCAAATAAAGATAACCTTCAAATCTGATGACTATTTTGTGGCTAAACCGGGATTCAAGAGTTGTTATTCCCTTGTGGTAAGTAACTTAACTATTCAGTGGAGAAAAGAAAGACTGTAGTCTAAAAGAATAGCAGAGCTGAAGGACTGAATAGGATGCACTAACCTACCCTTGTGGTAGGGAGATGCCATGATCTAAATGATGGTGATGGTCCAAGTGGTTTTACTGTACCTGGAAGGTGAGATCCCCTTCTTCCCAACCATGAATGTCCTGGTGTAGCTGAGGTTAGAAACCTGTCCATTGCACTGCAGGCAGGTATCCCTATGAGAGTCTACTATAACCTCTCAATGGGAGGATCTCAGCTATACATTTTATGGCTACGGAGGATTGCTCCCAGGCTTTCCATCTAGCTTGCACCTTCAGCCTTTTGGCTAAGAGCAAGCAAAACTAGGGGGCATCTGAACCACAAAGCATTCCAGGATTGGGGCTTGCAAGTAGGATGCCTGCCATGGATCTGGGAGTGTCTGAAACCGAGGACTGATGAGTCTAAGAGGTAGGATACTTCCTGGTGGTAGCACCACATAGACCTGAATGACTGAGCTCTGGTTCATCAATGGAATTTGGAACTTATTTGGCTAATTTGTCCTGAGACATGAAATTAAAATAAATAAATAAATAAATAAGGGGGTGGGGTGGTATTGCATAATGTGGCCTTTTGGTACTTATACAAATCAAGTATAGTTATGTGTCCCTTGCATTTTAGGCAGACTGACCCTGTAAGTCTCCCCAGATGTGGGGATCTCAGCTGCACAATTTTGTGGCAATGGAAGATTTCCTTTTGTACTTTCACCCTACCTTTAAAGTTTTGGGGAAGCAGAGAGCAAAGAGCTATCTAATCCCCAGATTTATTTTCCTTGCTGTAGCAATGGAAAGGGAACATATTCAAAGCAAACCTCAAATAATTAGATTCTATACCTGAAAAATTATAACAAATTTATAAATTTTCCATTTAGAGAATCTAATTATTGAGGGTCATCTTATAATCATAGCCATCTTCTATTCGAGTAAAAATGGTAATATAAACTAGACACAAAGCCAGCATAGGATTTACACTAATATGTTTCAAAACTGCTAACAAGTTCTGCACCAAGTTTGCTATTTGAGTGTGTTGATAACCACTTGCAGCCAATAGCAGCTACTGTTTAAATTCCATTTTTAGTCTTGTCAAAGAAAAATACCCTATGGGGTAACAGCCATGATTTGAAGATGCATGGTAAGATGCAATAAAATACAGAATGAAGGGACACAATGTGCAAGAGTTCAGACTGTAGTTCTAAAATCTGTGGGGTTTTGGTAGTGCCCTTTTTGTCACGTACCACTTGCATGAGACAAGCTTTCTGGATTTTTGTAGGTGGCACGAATGCTCATTTGTATAAACAGATTTGATACAAACATATATTCCAGATATTGTCCTGAAGAATGTTATAATCATTTTGGTGCAGTGTAGCTTAGCAGTGATGAATTTTGCAGTCAGTCACGGAACGGTAGGTAGTAATTTATTACACTGTCATCATTTTATTTTCATATCCATCACAGTTTATTTTTTTTATTCAATTCCATGTTACTTAACCAGAATAAGAAAGCCTGTATAATAATACAGTTACAGTCATACTAGGGGAAATCCAACACTGATGCTATTTCACTTCAACCTAATGGCTTGAAGTGAATGTGAGCTATTGTACTGAGGATGTATCTACACATGCGCTTTAAGGCACAGTAGCCTGTTTTACTTCTCATTAAAGCACCACAGAAAAAACATGCTATTATGCTAATGCACAGTAAAATAGGCACTTTGCATTAAGTAAAAACTGTGCGCATTAGTTAATGCACGTTAAGGCAGCCTAATGTGCATTTGTTTGGTACCTCATGTTGGAGGTACTAAATTTAATGTGCATCAGGAAAAGCACCTTCATGCACATGTAGATGCACCCACAGAGGCCATTCTACGGTAGTGTAACCTAGTGTGGGTAAGTGGGTACCAGCCCAGGGCACCAACTTAGTAGAGGCACCAGAATGTTGCCTCCATGCCCAAGAAGTCTGCAGAAGCAGCCCCGTGGTGTTGATATTGCAGCAGCAGCTGGGTTGCATGGAGACTACACTGCTGCTATGCAAGCAACAACAGAGGAATGGAAACCACACTGTAGCAGCAGCTACCAGGTACTTACCTGGGTACTTGCCTGGAGCAGGTAAGAGTCCCATTACCTTTACATCCCTCTGGTATTCACCGGTGGGCCTGTGCCAAGAGGCTAGTATTAGCTTCGGATTCAGATTCAGCCAATTCGGGAGACAGTGTTTTGATTTGGTGATTCGAATCACTGTCCCAAATTGATTCAGCTAAATCTGATGCAGAGATTTGGCTCCTGCCAAAATCTCCAAATAACCCGAACCAGGCCCATCTCCTGCCCGCTCTCCCAGCCCAGCAATGGCTGCCCCGCCTGCCTCAGCTCCCAGTACTTTGAAAAAAAAAAGCCCCAACTCACCAAGTGCTGCCGGATGTGTGGGGGGCAATCCAAGCTGCCCCCCACTGCCCCACACTGGGGGGGGGGGCTCTACATGATTCCCCCAACCCTCCTCCACTGTCCCAGCTCCCCCATGGCTGCCACCCCCCGCCAGCTCCAGACCTTTAAGGAAAAAAAAAAGAAAAACCTAGACTCACCGTTCCTGCCCAGTGTGGGGCATTTCCCGCTGAACCCCGCTGTTCCATGCCACATGGGGGGCTCTTCCAGAAGCCCCCAGACGCCACTGCAGGAGTGGTGAGTCCCAGGGTCTGTCTTAGTTTTTTTTTCTTAAAGAGCCAGAGCTGGGGCAGGCAGGGCAACTATGGGGGGGGGGCTGGGGGAGTGAGGAGGGGTTGCGGGGGCTCATGGCAGAGTCCCCCATGCAGGGT